GATCTGGATGTTTACCATGTGTTTGTAGAGAGCTGCTCGTCTCTCGCTGGCCGATGTATGATCTGATCTGGATGTTTACCATGTGTTTGTAGAGAGGTGCTCGTCCCTCGCTGGCCGATGTATGATCTGATCTGGATGTTTACCATGTGTTTGTAGAGAGCTGCTCGTCTCTCGCTGGCCGATGTATGAACCTGTTCTGGGTGTTTGCCATGTGTTAGTAGAGAGCTGCTCGTCTCTCGCTGGCCGATGTATGAACCTGATCTGGGTGTTTGCCATGTGTTAGTAGAGAGCTGCTCGTCTCTCGCTGGCCGATGTATGAACCTAATCTGGATGTTTGCCATGTGTTTGTAGAGAGCTGCTCGTCTCTCGCTGGCCGATGTATGAACCTAATCTGGATATTTGCCATGTGTTTGTAGAGAGCTGTTCGTCTCTCGCTGGTCGATGTATGAACCTGATCTGGATGTTTGCCATGTGTTTGTAGAGAGCTGTTCGTCTCTCGCTGGCCGATGTATGATCTGATCTGGATGTTTACCATGTGTTAGTAGAGAGCTGCTCGTCTCTCGCTGGCCGATGTATGATCTGATCTGGATGTTCACCATGTGTTTGTAGAGAGCTGTTCGTCTCTCGCTGGTCGATGTATGAACCTCATCTGGATGTTTGCCATGTGTTTGTAGAGAGCTGTTCGTCTCTCGCTGGTCGATGTATGAACCTGATCTGAATGTTTGCCATGTGTTTGTAGAGAGCTGTTCGTCTCTCGCTGGCCGATGTATGATCTGATCTGGATGTTTACCATGTGTTAGTAGAGAGCTGCTCGTCTCTCGCTGGCCGATGTATGACCTGATCTGGATGTTTACCATGTGTTTGTAGAGAGCTGCTCGTCTCTCGCTGGCCGATGTATGATCTGATCTGGATGTTTGCCATGTGTTTGTAGAGAGGTGCTCGTCCCTCGCTGGCCGATGTATGATCTGATCTGGATGTTTACCATGTGTTTGTAGAGAGCTGCTCGTCTCTCGCTGGCCGATGTATGATCTGATCTGGATGTTTACCATGTGTTTGTAGAGAGCTGCTCGTCCCTCGCTGGCCGATGTATGATCTGATCTGGATGTTTACCATGTGTTTGTAGAGAGCTGCTCGTCTCTCGCTGGCCGATGTATGAACCTGATCTGGGTGTTTGCCATGTGTTAGAAGAGAGCTGCTCGTCTCTCGCTGGCCGATGTATGAACCTGATCTGGGTGTTTGCCATGTGTTAGTAGAGAGCTGCTCGTCTCTCGCTGGCCGATGTATGAACCTGATCTGGGTGTTTGCCATGTGTTTGTAGAGAGCTGCTCGTCTCTCGCTGGCCGATGTATGAACCTAATCTGGATGTTTGCCATGTGTTTGTAGAGAGCTGCTCGTCTCTCGCTGGGCGATGTATGAACCTAATCTGGATATTTGCCATGTGTTTGTAGAGAGCTGTTCGTCTCTCGCTGGTCGATGTATGAACCTGATCTGGATGTTTGCCATGTGTTTGTAGAGAGCTGTTCGTCTCTCGCTGACCGATGTATGATCTGATCTGGATGTTTACCATGTGTTAGTAGAGAGCTGCTCGTCTCTCGCTGGCCGATGTATGATCTGATCTGGATGTTCACCATGTGTTTGTAGAGAGCTGTTCGTCTCTCGCTGGTCGATGTATGAACCTCATCTGGATGTTTGCCATGTGTTTGTAGAGAGCTGTTCGTCTCTCGCTGGCCGATGTATGATCTGATCTGGATGTTTACCATGCGTTAGTAGAGAGCTGCTCGTCTCTCGCTGGCCGATGTATGACCTGATCTGGATGTTTACCATGTGTTTGTAGAGAGCTGCTCGTCCCTCGCTGGCCGATGTATGATCTGATCTGGATGTTTACCATGTGTTTGTAGAGAGCTGCTCGTCTCTCGCTGGCCGATGTATGAACCTGATCTGGGTGTTTGCCATGTGTTAGTAGAGAGCTGCTCGTCTCTCGCTGGCCGATGTATGAACCTGATCTGGGTGTTTGCCATGTGTTAGTAGAGAGCTGCTCGTCTCTCGCTGACCGATGTATGATCTGATCTGGATGTTTACCATGTGTTTGTAGAGAGCTGCTCGTCTCTCGCTGGCCGATGTATGAACCTGATCTGGGTGTTTGCCATGTGTTAGTAGAGAGCTGCTCGTCCCTCGCTGGCCGATGTATGAACCTAATCTGGATGTTTGCCATGTGTTTGTAGAGAGCTGCTCGTCCCTCGCTGGTCGATGTATGAACCTAATTTGGATGTTTGCCATGTGTTAGTAGAGAGCTGCTCGTCCCTTGCTGGCCGATGTATGAACCTAATCTGGATATTTGCCATGTGTTTGTAGAGAGCTGTTCGTCTCTCGCTGTCCCATGTATGAACCTAATCTGGATGTTTGCCATGTGTTTGTAGAGAGCTGTTCGTCTCTCGCTGGTCGATGTATGAACCTGATCTGGATGTTTGCCATGTGTTTGTAGAGAGCTGTTCGTCTCTCGCTGGCCGATGTATGATCTGATCTGGATGTTTACCATGTGTTAGTAGAGAGCTGCTCGTCTCTCGCTGGCCGATGTATGACCTGATCTGGATGTTTACCATGTGTTTGTAGAGAGCTGCTTGTCTCTCGCTGGCCGATGTATGATCTGATCTGGATGTTTACCATGTGTTTGTAGAGAGGTGCTCGTCCCTCGCTGGCCGATGTATGATCTGATCTGGATGTTTACCATGTGTTTGTAGAGAGCTGCTCGTCCCTCGCTGGCCGATGTATGATCTGATCTGGATGTTTACCATGTGTTTATAGAGAGCTGCTCGTCTCTCGCTGGCTGATGTATGAACCTGATCTGGGTGTTTGCCATGTGTTAGTAGAGAGCTGCTCGTCTCTCGCTGGCCGATGTATGAACCTGATCTGGGTGTTTGCCATGTGTTAGTAGAGAGCTGCTCGTCTCTCGCTGGCCGATGTATGAACCTGATCTGGGTGTTTGCCATGTGTTTGTAGAGAGCTGCTCGTCTCTCGCTGGCCAATGTATGAACCTAATCTGAATGTTTGCCATGTGTTTGTAGAGAGCTGCTCGTCTCTCGCTGGCCGATGTATGAACCTAATCTGGATATTTGCCATGTGTTTGTAGAGAGCTGTTCGTCTCTCGCTGTCCGATGTATGAACCTAATATGGATGTTTGCCATGTGTTTGTAGAGAGCTGTTCGTCTCTCGCTGGTCGATGTATGAACCTGATCTGGATGTTTGCCATGTGTTTGTAGAGAGCTGTTCGTCTCTCGCTGGCCGATGTATGATCTGATCTGGATGTTTACCATGTGTTAGTAGAGAGCTGCTCGTCTCTCGCTGGCCGATGTATGACCTGATCTGGATGTTTACCATGTGTTTGTAGAGAGCTGCTCGTCCCTCGCTGGCCGATGTATGATCTGATCTGGATGTTTACCATGTGTTTGTAGAGAGCTGCTCGTCCCTCGCTGGCCGATGTATGATCTGATCTTGATGTTTACCATGTGTTTGTAGAGAGCTGCTCGTCTCTCGCTGGCCGATGTATGATCCAGATCTGGATGTTTGCCATGTGTTAGTACAGAGCTGCTCGTCTCTCGCTGGCCGATGTATGAACCTGATCTGGGTGTTTGCCATGTGTTAGTAGAGAGCTGCTCGTCTCTCGCTGACCGATGTATGATCTGATCTGGATGTTTACCATGTGTTTGTAGAGAGGTGCTCGTCCCTCGCTGGCCGATGTATGATCTGATCTGGATGTTTACCATGTGTTTGTAGAGAGCTGCTCGTCTCTCGCTGGCCGATGTATGAACCTGATCTGGATGTTTGCCATGTGTTTGTAGAGAGCTGCTCGTCTCTCGCTGGCCGATGTATGAACCTGATCTGGGTGTTTGCCATGTGTTAGTAGAGAGCTGCTCGTCTCTCGCTGACCGATGTATGATCTGATCTGGATGTTTACCATGTGTTTGTAGAGAGCTGCTCGTCTCTCGCTGGCCGATGTATGAACCTGATCTGGGTGTTTGCCATGTGTTAGTAGACAGCTGCTCGTCTCTCGCTGGCCGATGTATGAACCTGATCTGGGTGTTTGCCATGTGTTTGTAGAGAGCTGCTCGTCTCTCGCTGGCCGATGTATGAACCTGATCTGGATGTTTGCCATGTGTTTGTAGAGAGCTGCTCGTCTCTCGCTGGCCGATGTATGAACCTGATCTGGATGTTTGCCATGTGTTTGTAGAGAGCTGCTCGTCTCTCGCTGGCCGATGTATGAACCTGATCTGGGTGTTTGCCATGTGTTAGTAGAGAGCTGCTCGTCTCTCGCTGACCGATGTATGATCTGATCTGGATGTTTACCATGTGTTTGTAGAGAGCTGCTCGTCCCTCGCTGGCCGATGTATGATCTGATCTTGATGTTTACCATGTGTTTGTAGAGAGCTGCTCGTCTCTCGCTGGCCGATGTATGATCCAGATCTGGATGTTTGCCATGTGTTAGTACAGAGCTGCTCGTCTCTCGCTGGCCGATGTATGAACCTGATCTGGGTGTTTGCCATGTGTTAGTAGAGAGCTGCTCGTCTCTCGCTGACCGATGTATGATCTGATCTGGATGTTTACCATGTGTTTGTAGAGAGGTGCTCGTCCCTCGCTGGCCGATGTATGATCTGATCTGGATGTTTACCATGTGTTTGTAGAGAGCTGCTCGTCTCTCGCTGGCCGATGTATGAACCTGATCTGGATGTTTGCCATGTGTTTGTAGAGAGCTGCTCGTCTCTCGCTGGCCGATGTATGAACCTGATCTGGGTGTTTGCCATGTGTTAGTAGAGAGCTGCTCGTCTCTCGCTGACCGATGTATGATCTGATCTGGATGTTTACCATGTGTTTGTAGAGAGCTGCTCGTCTCTCGCTGGCCGATGTATGAACCTGATCTGGGTGTTTGCCATGTGTTAGTAGAGAGCTGCTCGTCTCTCGCTGGCCGATGTATGAACCTGTTCTGGGTGTTTGCCATGTGTTTGTAGAGAGCTGCTCGTCTCTCGCTGGCCGATGTATGAACCTGAAATCTGCTCTGGCCTGTGGAGGGGAGAGGGTGTTCGGTACGGCGGACTGCGGCCCGGTCCAACAGGGCAACTACTGCTGTGTAAGACGGAACCCACAAGGTGAACAGATGTAGGGTTTAAACCTGACCTGATAATTAGGTTCTCCATGTGTCCTGACTCTAAACACGTAATTCTTGTGGGAGACATCAACAATTAATACGCACAAAAGAGCGGCGCGGTTGGCTCTGTGTCCTTTTGGTGTGTCAGGATCAGCTGATCGTGGGTTCGAATCCCAGATCCTCACTGATTTTCTCTGTGACTGGGGTTAACAAGGCAAATGTCACTTCTTTAACTTGAGTTAAAGAAGCCTTGACCAGACTCCACTCCAGTGCGCTTAAACGAACAGCGCGGGAGGGCGATAATTACTTGAAGCGAACGTAAAATGCTTCCGTTGTCCCCGCAGGAACTTGAAAAACACGGAGTTATACTCTCTCACCCACTAACCCAGCCACGAACTCACTCACTCACTCACCCACTGTTACAGCATCCTGCGCATCACTCGGTGGTCAGTGCATGAATGTCAAGTCGGGGCTGGTGTGTGGAGGGGAAGAGGTTCAGGGCACCCCAGACTGCGGTCCTCAAGTCCAGGGCAACTACTGCTGTGTCCGCGCGGACGCTCAAGGTAGAAACAGAGTACATACAATCCTGATTACTGTCTTAACTCGTAGAAATAATAAGTTTTAGTTTTATGTGGCGAGAGACTGGCGTATCTCAACTTTTGGAAATAGGTGAGGTGAGGTGAAATGGGGTTAAACGTCTCGTCCAAGATTATTGCACTAATATAGCGACGTGCATGCACGTGTGTGTGTGGCTGCTTGTACTGGTCCGGACTGATGCCGTTTTATAGTGCTAGCCCACTGAGATACCATGCCGCAGTTTAACATGAATATCCCACTCAGACACAGTATACTGATTCCGAGCCGACCAGTCCTTCCGCTCTCCGGGCGGACGCTCTACCACTAGACCACGGAGGCGGTCTCTTGGAAATAACTGATTTATCCTGATGGCTGAAATTCTGCAAGGTGGATTTAGCGTGAAATCTTTTCCAACATAATGCCATTAACAATAAGAAAGACGTTCATAGTTTTCAGTTGTCGAAATCATTAATGATTGTCAAAAGTATTACTCAAGTAATATACCATATCCTTATTTTTTTTAAAAAGAATATTTTTTGTGTTGCTCATGTTCTTGAATATTGAAACCCCGTTTATACTTTTCTCAGTGAAATAACAGGGGCGGTCGGGTAGCCTAGTGGTTAAAGCGTTCGCTCGTCACGCAGAAGACCCGAGTTTGATTCCCGACATGGGTACAATGTGTTAGGCCCATTTCTGGTGTCCCCCGCCGTGATATTGCTGGAATATTGCTAAAAGCGGCGTAAAAACATACTCACTCACTCAGTGAAATAACGTCGTGCTTTAAAAAATATTATTTTTCCGGAATCTCCCGCAAACCGGCTTTTGAACTACCGACGTCTCACTGCATGTATACTGATGAGTGGCTATATTTATTGTTGCTTTGAACAGTATTTCGGTTATATCCCTGCGTGTCAGTGTGATGCAGGGGAAAGCCTGAAGCGCTGAAATCCACGAGCACAGGTGTGGCGTGACAAACCAAGGGAGATAATCAGGGCGTAGCTAAGATTCCAACAACTAAAGTACTCATGGAAATGAAAAAAAAATGTTTTGCTGGATTTAATAATCGACACAAAGCATTACGTAGATGTAAATACGAAATAACAAAACAACTGCAAAAGTACTAGTCTGGATTTGCTAGTTTTATCTCAGTGCTCAATACAAAATGTACTTTACAGGAGGTAATTTGTAGGCACTTTCAACATTCAAAAATAAAACTAAGTCCAAACTGACATGGCAGAAACAGGCTATAGGCATTATGCAAATTAGCCTGGAAAAAAGTTATCAAAACAACAATAAAAATAACAGCTATGTTTATGTACATAATAATAATGACATGTAAGTTGTTGTTTGAGAAGGAATGTGTTACTTTTACGTTCTGATATTTTGACGATGATTCACTATCCCACAATGCCACTCACAAATCACTAACCACTGACAAATCACATGCACGTGGGTTTCAAGCACCTGTTTTCACCTGTCGTCAAGGTGTCATAGGTCATGGACATTCACCTTGATCTACAAACACCTGGTTATGCTCAGTTTCACAAGAGTCTGTTTTGTTAATATTTGTACACACTTTTACGTGTAAAAAGACATTAAAACCTTTGATACGCTGTATTTGCGCCAAGGCCCAATTAGTACTAATTGAGTTGTTTGAATATTTATATATTTTGTATATTAAATGCATTTATTTAAAATCTGAGATCGAAAAAACAGGTTTTTTTCATTTCCGTGAGTACTTTAGCATGTAATCCTTCAGCTGACTGCTGAGGTTTGCACCTCGCCGCAGTGAATGCTGTGCTTTAGAGGACATGGCCAACCAATCCTAAATGATCCAGTGTATACCATCTTCATTCCTTCATAATAAATACCCGTGGGCTATTTGCCATCTTTCTTTCGTTTCCGGACGTGACATCATTGTCTTCAACTCTCGCACGGAATTTCTCTCGCTCATGTTTGTTTGTTATTTAACGCCGCACTCAGCAATATTCCAAACTTTATGAAGGCGGTCTGTAAATAATAGAATCTGGGCCAGACAATCCAGTGATTGACATCATGAGCATCGATCTACGCAATTGGGATACGATATCAGCGAGTCTGACCACCCGATCCCGTGACCCGGGAAGATCCGGGGTAGAATAGGTCTTCAGCAACCCATGCTTGCCGTAAAAGGCGACTATGCTTGTCGTCGTAAGTGGCCACGAACAGGATCGGGTGGTCAGGCTCTCTGATGCATGACATCGTATTCCAATTGCGTGGATCGATGCTCATGATGTCAATCACAGGATTGTCTGGTCCAGACTCGATTATTTACAGACCGCCGTCATATTGCTGGAATATTGCTGAGTGCGGCGTTGAACAACAAACAAACAAAACAAACAAAACCCGATCCCGTTAGTCGCCTCGTACGACAATCATTGGTTGCTGAAGTCGGAAACCTAACAATTCTAACACTTATCTTTGCGGGTCCTATCGCTCGTGTAAGTATTTTGATTAGATGGTTTTTTTAGAGTACTGGCATTCGAATGAAAGTATGGCAGAAAATGGGCCCAGGGTATTTAACACAACAGGAGACAAAACGCCGGATAATCGAGCATGTGGTTACCCGTACCCCTGAATTGGTAACCTACTCGTATATTCCCCCTTCCAGATACCCCCATGGAAGCGTGTGAGAGAGAAGGGGGGAGATGCCAGACTCTGCTGTCTGCACTGGCTTGTGGCGGCGACAGGGACAACACTCAGTGCGGAGACAGCACCTTCACGTACTGCTGCTACCCTCCAAGACAATAAACTCTACATGTCCTCGTACATTTACATTTTACGTGCGCTTTAATAGCAGCCATTGACGAATATATGTCAGTTCGACCTCTGGATCCTCTGCAAAGAAATACTATTTGGAAATCGTGAATCGCTACTAAACTAAATCCTTTATTCTGTTCTATCCTACCCCAACCTCACCAAAACACATAATCAAGTTAAACATTTAGAATACAAATGCTTTAAATTCATTTTGCAAAATAAAATAATTACGCGGGAATGATAATGTTTTTCGTTGCTGTTGTTGTTTAACGCCGTACTCGGCAATATTCAAGCTATATGACGCGTGCCATGAAAAAACTTTGAAACTGGACCAGACAATCCAGTGATTGATATTTTGAGCAACGTCCTACACCGAGTTGGAACGGTGACAGGCATTTAACCAAGTCTCCAAGCAAAACCATCCGATCCCTTAAGTCGCCTCGTACGACAAGCTTAGGTTACAGGGGACCTGTTCTAAGCCGGAATATCCACGAAGGAAAATCATTGTTATGTTAACTGATGAAAACGAGTGAAAGCTGTTGCAACACTGCAATATTCCAGCTATACCCCGGCTTCCTTGACCTGGCAACCCAGTGACCTATGACAGTTACTATGTTGAAACTCCCCTTACTAAAGGAGCTCGCAAAGTATATATTCTGAGCTAAAAAAGAAGAGAGATTTTCTTAAGGATATAAAGTATTCGTAGAAATATTTTAAATTCCGTGTGATCTGTACTGTATATATATTATTTAATATTATTCTTAAATATTTGTGGTTGTCACCGTGTGGTATTATATAAGACATCAGTGTAGAGAATGGCATGGACTTGAAAGGCCATCGAATCATTGTTCCTTCAACAATGAGAACACAAATACTTGCAAAACGTGCACCAAGGACACACAGGCGCTGAGAAATGGCAACTGAAGGCAGGAGAATGTATATTCTGGCCTGGTGAGGTGAGGTGAAATGGGGTTTAACTTCGCGTCCAAGATTATTGCACTTATACAGCGACGTGTATGTACGTGTGTGTGTTTGTGTGGCTGCTTGTACTAGTCCGGACTGATGCCGATTTATAGTGCTAGCTCACTGAGATACCATGCCGCAGTTTAACATGAATACCCCACTCAGACAAAGTATACGACACCGAGCCGACCAGTCCTTGTTTTAGCCTTGTTAGTGAGTGGAGTTGGGTTTAATACCACTTTGAACAGTATTCCAGCTACATCACGGCTTGTCAGCTTGATGTGGGAGGAAAGCCGAAGTGATGCAGACGTTAAACACTGCAAGATAGCAACGGTAAGGTGCTGATATCCCAAGGATAATTATCAGGCCAATCTTTGACATGAACTCAAGTATAGCGCATCCTAGCAGAGATGAGGGTCTCAGTTCTCCACATCGAAACGCCCCGACCCCGAGTGTTTGCATGTTCAACCAAACATGACAGTGTTATCTGGCTATAAACCGACCAATCAATAACAACATTCATCAACAATATATGTTTCCGTCTCACTTCCCGTGAACCTAAGGAGGCGGCCGTAAAATATCTCTTGCTGGCGCACATGAAAGAGATTCTTATAAAGTCTGGAAGGTAATTTAAGGTACCGACGTTTACTACAATATCTGAAAAACTATCAACTCAACTCGAAAGGGTGCACGGGAATCACGCACGTTGAGACGCCCAACGCTGACACCGTATTCGTGCGTGCGTGATTCCCGTGCACCCTTTCGAGTTGAGTTGATTGGTTCAACTGTTTCATATGGCCCTGTGACGCAGGGGTAGCATTATGCAGATGGCTGTTTCAATGAATGCTCGTTCCACCCGTGACGAACAGGTCTGGTTGTTGATGAAATAAAGTGATAGCTAAATAGACAGATTTTTTATTCATGCACCGATTGTCTTTAAATGTAATATCCAGTTATGTATGACTGTTTAATAATCTCATACAAACTTTGACTGGAGTAGGTCCAATAGTTTTTCAGATATTGTAGTAAACGTCGGTACCTTAAATTACCTTAAAGACTTTATAAGAATCTCTTTCATGTCCGCCAGCAAGAGATATTTTAAGGCCGCTTCCTTAGGTTCACGGGAAGTTCACATCGGCACCTCTGTAGCCTGACAGTTTCCTATTCCACTGAGACGCCATTTCCACCATTTCAAGCACTGTAAAGTGTGTTATGTAAATCGTTTTCAAATGCAAAATAAATTTCCATATAGAGACATTGTATAGAATAGAACAAGGGATGTTCTAAAAGTCGTTGCTGAGAGGCTATTCCAAGCAAAAGCTAATTAGGCCACTTTACGCAGACAGGATGACGTCACTAGAGGTTACTAATCACTCGTTAATCGGTTACAGGTTCAGGGTGTTACGGAATTGTCGCAGAAATTAGTTAGAACAGGAAATACATGACACAACGGTGTTGGGAACATCACAAACTGAGAATGCAGCTCAAGAAGCTAACCGACAAGAGTTTTATGCCGTGTCTTTTCAGTGGTCTCTAAAAAGATCTGACACATGTTGTTTTTGACAAGGTTTAGCGAAGGAAAAAGAAAATTTCACCCGAGTGTCTTTTTGATATCAAATATATCAAACCGGGGTTGATAAAAGTGGAAAAACTCCGAGGCTTCAACACGAGTTGATAAACTCCTGTTGATATATTTGATAACAAAATGGGCGGTGGGGTAGCCTAGTGGTTAAAGTGTTCGCTCGTCACACCGAAGACCCGGGTTCGACTCCCCACATGGGTACAATGTGTGAAGCCCATTGCTGAAATATTGCTAAAAGCGGTGTAAAACAATACTCACTGATATCAAAAGACACGAGGGTGAAATTTTATTTACCATCCAACATCATTCTTCCGACTTTTTTCAGTTTGTAGACAGTAAGGGTGAAAATATGATTTGAATTCCCTGAAGCAAGCGACCGAATCACTGTGTAGGAAATAGAGATTACTACACGAGTGTCTGTCAGATACCATTGATCTTACAACGAGTTGTTTCAAAACGTATCTAACGAGCGAAAGCGAGTTAGGTACGCTTTGTAACAACGAGTTGTAAGATCAATGGTATCTGACAGGCACGAGTTTCTTTCACACCCCAAAATAGCACCTTTTTAGCATCGAACCGATGAATTTGTCATGATTGCAGTGGCGCATTATACATGTCACCACTGTCATAAGTGACGTCATCCTATGTGTTGCTTACTACTCATAAATAATGTGACCCGACACAAAAAGGTTTCCGTCATATCTGGATTATCAAGGCGATGATGAAAATTCAAACTAGACAAAAACAAAGAACACGCTGGGTGCCAAGTTGAAAGTTCACACCTCAAAGAAATTACCAAATATGTACAACAATGTTTACTTCCGTATGACATCACTACCGGTGACCGACTTTTACAAAATGGCGTGTTCACTGACAACAGTACGCGGGATTTCCAGAGGAGGATTTTCGTTGATTGAGGGATCGTATACACATAAATGGGTCACGTAAGTAATCAGAAGCATTCTGACAATCTGCGTACTGTTATTTGTTTACCATGTTTTCCAATGTAAGAAAGATAATTAGTCAGAAATGCAGATAACATCGTTGTGCGTGATTTAGCGTCAGTCATGGCGCCACACAGGACGGAAACTTTTGTAAACGGCTTCTGTTGAATTTACCACATCATTGTAATGTATATATGTGTATTTCCATAATTAGTGCAACGATACTCTTCCCATGAATATTCTCAAACGCGTGATCGATCCAATGTACGCAACAATTAGACGAAAGTACCTCTAAAAAGGGTACACAGCGTAACATCTGAAATTTGCTTTTGTTTACATTTCAGCAAGTACAGTTTTCCGAGCACAGTTTTCGTTACCATACCTAACTAATTTCGCATGATTTCATCAAGATAATTTGTATTGGTGACAAAGACCATTTATCCATTGTTTCGAAAATGTATGAGGAATTCAGGGATGCATGTATAGCATTAAATATTGAAATATACCAGATCGAATAATAATTTTGAATTGCATAAAATGACAGTAAATGATAAACAGAAAGGGGAATTCAAAACTGTGAAGTGTATTAATCTGCGTGATGTATTTTGAATTTTCGATGTTGACGCCTCACAACCGAGTAAGTACGAGGTGTTAAAAAGTGCGCATGTTTTTTTCTAAATAAAACAATAGGTTTACAATATCGATAAATACTATGTGTGTGTCTATTTCCGGGGTTTTATCTAGTATTTGCATCTTGGAAATTTTCATTCGAGCCCCTCAAGCTAACGCTTTCGGGTCTCGAGATGAATTTCCAAGATGCAAATACTCGATAAAATCCCGGAAATAGACACACACATAGTATTTATCTTCTAAGTGTCTTAGTGTAAAAAGTACTGCTAACAGCAGCAGAGCCATTAGTGATGTCATTTGATTGTGACGTCATGGTAACAATGACGTCACAATGGTCTGCAAAGCATTGTGATGCAATTTCACTGCAGCGATATCATGGGTGCGTTGCAATGCTCCAATCGCTTGCGAGCGATGTGCAGCGATTTGCCTCGCAACAGTGCGCTAACTTTCAGCCGCTTGCAAGCGAAACAATCGCTGGCTGAGGTCGCTTTGTTCTCAAACCAAAATGGCGGCTGACTTTGACAACGGAACAAGAAATTCCTGATTGGATCAACGAGGAAATGAGCAAAGGTAGCTAACACCCCATCATCCTCAATCTGCTCCACATCTTCAAAGTTGTGATAAATCTCATCAGCTCGGCATCAAGCCTCTTCTATTACGTTCTTCATTACGTCAAGGCAACCAAAATGCGCCGCCATTTTGGAAGAGTGCGCAAGCGCTTCGACCTGTTGAAGACCCCGGGATGACCGATTAATTTACTTTCTCAAAGCGATTCGTGGCTCGCAACGCGCCACTACAATGTAGATATCGCTTGGGTGAGGGGGCGGTCGGGTAGCCTAGTGGTTAAAGCGCTCGCTCGTCACGCCGAAGACCCGGCTTCTAATCCCGACATGGGTACAATGTGTGATGCCCATTTCTGGTGTCCCCCGCCGTGATATTGCTGGAATATTGCTAAAAGCGGCGTAAAACAAAACTCACTCACTCACTCACTCACTCACCCACTCACTTAGGTGAGATCAAGCGATATCTCACGTGGGAGCCAGTTTATGATAAAATGTTTTCTAATACATGAACGAACAATAAATTTGCGGTTGAGAGTGGTTCCCTTTATTTAAGCAT